GAGGCCCCGGTGCCTTCCCCAGGTCATTTAAATTTGAAAAAAACCCTTGAAACCCTTAACCCTAAAAACCAAACCCGAAACCCTTCACACTAAACCCTAACCACTCAGCACCAGACCCTAAACACTAACCCTACAAAACTTAACACTAAGCCATTAGCACAAACCCCAAACACCTAACACGAAACCAACGCTACACCCTTTAAACACTAAACCCTAAACATTATACACTAAACCCTACACACTAAACCCTGAACACTAAACCCCAAACCCTAAACATAAGGGTTTTTAAAGTTGTCAATGGTCTGGGGAAGCCCCGGTGCCTTCCCCAGATCATTTACAATTTGTAAAATTCCTGAACACCCTGAACCCTAAAAACCAAACACGAAACCCTTAACATCAAACACTAAACACTCAGCACTAGACCCTAAACACTTACCCTTAAAAACTTGACACGAAGCCCTTAGCACAAACCCCAAACACTTAACACGAAACCCTAAACGCTTAACCATAAACTCTAAACACTACACCCTAAAAACTAAACCCCAAGCATTACACACTAAACCCTACACACCAAACCTTAAACCCTAAACAGTAAACCCCAATGCCGGAAGCTCAAGCCCTACTAAATCTAAACCTGAAACCAAGAACCCGTCGGGGATTCAGATGCTAATTGTTTGGATTTTAGAGTTTAGGGCTTTATTTGGTTTAGGGTTTTAGCCAAGCCGCTTGACCCTATCCCTAAACCTAAACCCTAGACCCTAAACTTAAGACTCAAACCCTAAACACAAAACACTATAACCCTGAAACCTACACACTAAACCCTAAACACAAAACACCAAACCCTAAACCCGAAACAACACATCCTGAACCCTAAACCCTAAACACTAAACCCTAAACCCCAAACAAAAAACATGGGGGTTTCAGTCCTTTAGGGGTTTTAAAACTTCATCATTATGAGGTTTAGTGTTGTAGACATTGCCCAAGTCGCTTAACCCTAAACCCTAATAAGTAAACCCTAAACCTTGTAAACCAAAACCTAAACACTAGACCCTAAACACTAAACCCAAAACCCTAAACACTAACCAATAAACACTAAACCGTAATCCCTAAACGTGCATATGGAGAACATGGGCCCCGGACTCCAGACTCCAGATGTCCAGAAAAATCTGGAATACCCGGGCCCCGGACTCCAGACTCCAGATTTCCAAAGGAATTCTGGAGTACCCGAGCCCCGGACTCCAGACTCCAGATTTCCAGAAAAAATCTGGAGTACCCGGCCCCGGACTCCAGACTCCAGATTTCCAGAAAAAATCTGGAGTACCCGGGCCCGGACTCCAGACTCCAGATTTCCAGAAAAAATCTGGAGTACCCGCGCCCCGGACTCCAGACTCCAGATTTCCAGAAAAAATCTGGAGTACCCGGGCCCCGGACTCCAGACTCCAGATTTCCAGAAAAAATCTGGAGTACCCGGGCCCCGGACTCCAGACTCCAGATTTCCAGAAAAAATCTGGAGTACCGGGGCCCCAGACTCCAGACTCCAGATTTCCAGAAAAAATCTGGAGTACCCGGGCCCCGGACTCCAGACTCCAGATTTCCAGAAAAAATCTGGAGTACCCGGGCCCCGGACTCCAGACTCCAGATTTCCAGGAAAAAATCTGGAGTACCCGGGCCCCAGACTCCAGACTCCAGATTTCCAGAAAAAATCTGGAGTACCGGGGCCCCGGACTCCAGACTCCAGATTTCCAGAAAAAATCTGGAGTACCCGCGGCCCCAGACTCCAGATTTCCAGAAAAAATCTGGAGTACCCGGGTGCCCCAGACTCCAGACTCCAGATTTCCAGAAAAAATCTGGAGTACCCGCGGCCTCAGACTCCAGATTACAGACTCCAGAATCTGGAGACCAGGGTCCCGGTACTCCAGATTTTTTCTGGAAATCTGGAGTCTGGAGTCTGGTGGTACTCCAGATTTTTTCTGGAAATCTGGAGTCTGGAGTCTGGAGGTACTCCAGATTTTTTCTGGAAATCTGGAGTCTGGAGTCTGGGGGTACTCCAAATATTTTCTGGAAATCTGGAGTCTGGAGTCCCCCCCCTCCCAAAACCAGCCTTCCCGAGGCCAAATGTGTGGATCATGGGGGGGGGGGCGAGCATATATATATATATGTATGTGTATATATACATCTATAATTAGGAGAACCCAGAGTTCTCCAGGAACTGTTCTTTCTAGTCCCTGGCCCTGCAACTCACAGAGAACACATGCGAACTGTCTCGGCTCGAAACCTTAGACTCTGAAACCCTACGCCCAAAAACACCAAAACCCAACGCTTCTCGACCCTGGACCCTAAACCCTATAAACCCTAAACCCTAAACCCTAAACCCTAAACCCTAAACCCCAGCCCCGCCTTGGGATCGCTTCTGCCGCAGGGTACGAGACCAGGTCTGGCTCCTGGTGCCTGCACATGTCAAGGGCCTAAGGACCGTTAGAGACACGAGGGTTGCAGGGTTTAGGGTTTAGGGTTGCAGGGTGTAGGGCTTGGGGGCTTAGGGCTTCGGGTTCCGTATGTCAAGTTCAAGCATTCACTAGTCAAGCTGGCTTCTCTGGCGTTGGTTATCTACCCACCCACCCTTTGGATCCCGTAACATTAGGAAAATACATTAATGTTGCAGTTCAAGCCAGCATTCCCAAACCACAAGCCCAAGGCTTAATACCCCTTAAACTAAAGCCCAAGGCCCAGAAAAAGGAGGGGGGGGGGGGTGGGGAGGGGGGGTGGGGAGGGGGGGTGGGGAGGGGGGGGCTGGGGAGGGGGGGGAGGGGGGGGATGGGGAGGGGGGTAGGGGGTGGGGGGTGGTGGGCGGTGGGGGAACCTTAGTCGCCAAGGCACAGACCTTAGTCGGCATGCAGGGCACAAACCTTAATAGGCAAGGCACAAGCCTACAACCCAAAAACCCAAAACCCCAAAACACCAACACCCCAGAAACCCTAAAATCCTAAATTCCTAAAGCAGCCCAAGAAACCCAGAACCCCAACACGCCAAAACCCAAAAAAAAAACAATCCCCAAAAAGCCGAAAAAAAAAAAACCTAAAGCCCTAAACCCCAAAACCCTTTTTTCCCTAAAAACACCAAAAAACCCTAAAGCCCTAAACCCCAAAAGCCTTTTTCCCAAAAAAACACCAAAAAACCCGAAAACCCTAAACCCCGAAACCCTTTTTTTTCCCTAAAAACACCAAAAAACCCTAAAACCCTAAACCCCAAAAACCTTTTTTCCCTAAAACACACCAAAAAAAACCTAAACACCCTAAAAAACTTCCCTAAAACACACCAAAAAAAACCTTAAAAACCCTAAAAAACCGAAGCCAGGCCTGGCATCCTCGAGCGCCCGCTGCAGGCTGCTTGGCAATGACGCGATTCTGGGGGGCAGCGGCTGGCTGTTGGAAACTGAGGGTTTTGGGGGGGGGGGGGGGGGGGGGCTTTCTGGGTCTCAGGGTTTCAGGGGTTTCCGGGGTTTCCGGGGTTTAGGGTTTAGGGTTTAGGGTTTAGGATTTAGGGTTTAGGGTTTAGGGTTTAGGGTTTAGGGTTTAGGGTTTAGGGTTTAGGGTGCAGCTGTTGACTTGCAAGTCCGAAGGGCGGGTGCGAAACCTGTTTGACCGGGCGTGCCCTTGGGAACGAAAGAAGGTTCTTTCTATTAGAGTTTAGGGTTTAGGGTTTGGGGTTTAGGGTTTAGGGTTTAGGGTCTGTGCACTAGGGCCACGTGTCGAAAATCGTTAGATAGCAAGATTTCTTGTCACAAACATCCTTCACAACAGCATGTCTTATGCAAGCGTCGACCCCGAAACAAATCAGGGTTGGTTTCGCATTCGCCGCTTGCTAGGTGTCCTCGTGCACACATAATTTGAAATAGTCGCCCTCACGACCTGCATATAAAACCTAAACCAAACCCTCAACCCTAAACCCTTATAGCCCTTTGTAGCCCTTTGTAGCCCTTTCCCTTTGCAGCCCTTGCAGTCCTAAACCCTAAACCCCAAACCCCAAACCCAAAACCCAAAACCCAAAACCCAAAACCCTGTACCCTGTACCCTAAACCCTAAACCCTGCACCGCTGAGGCGTCAGGCGTTTGGGGCCAGTTCGGCTCGATGATGAGCTGAAGGAAGCAGCGGTTGACGTGGGGATAGCTGGGATCCTGGGCTGCTTCGGGGTTTAGGGTTGAGGGTTTGGGGTTCAGGGTTTAGGCTTTGGGGTTTAAGGTTGAGGGTTTAGAGTTCAGGGTTTAGGGTTTTAGGGTTGCGGGTTTAGGGTCCAGTGTTTATAGGGCGTAGGGCTTTAGGCTCACAGGGACTTCGGGTTCAGGAGCAGATGCTCGAGCATGTGCATTTTGGGTCTCAGAGGGTACCTCAGAAGGTAGCTCTCGGCAGCCCAGCGCCAGGAAATCACAGCATCGTCGGATTGTTCCATGTGCTCTGGAAGCCAGCATTTCTGGGCATCTTCTGCCGGGTTCTCGAAATAGCGCCTTCAGGCCCGCTTGTAGGGCTCTTGAGAGCGCAACTGTCGACCAGGTCGTGCTGTGGGGGGTTCTTAAGGTCAGAGAGCTTCGGACATTCGGGGACCCTAAACCCTAAACCCTAAACCCTAAACCCTAAATGTGAAGCACTGAGGGTGTTTTCAAAGCTCCAGGAGAGACGCTACAAATCAGAAGTGTACATGCAATGGCCATTAGCGCAGGGGTCACAAATCAGAAGTGTACATGCACCGGCCGATCGCGCAAGGCCCGAAGTCACATGCATCGTCAGCACGCGCGAAAAGTGCGACGGCTGCTATCTTGTAGTTTCATATTGGTAGCGGAGCCTTGTGAGTGCTCCTGGCCTGTTAGTGATTCCGTTGAGCCCAATCTAGTGCGTTTGTTCGATGGCGGCGGCCAGTGAGACGGCAGCCGAAACCCCTCCTGGCTTTGAGACGCGGACGGAGGGACCTGATGCTGGCATTCCACTGCCGATGTTCGGCAACCGCCATGAGCGGCGTCTTGCGGAGGAAACTGGTCAAGAGCAGACCGGGCAGAGTTTTAGACACCAGTTTCATCGTGATGATGATCAGCATGATTGGTGGAACGACTCCTGGTGGAGTCACGGGGTCCGGTGGAGAGCGGAGGCCTGGGGAAACGGCGTATCCGCTCGAAACTGGTCGAGCGACAATCGTGCTGAAGGTTGGAGAAGCGATGATGCGAATGGCTGGAATGGCGCCGATCGACAAGATGATAGTGATCCTTGGTCTGGGGGCAGAGATCCTTGGACGAAAGGAAGCCATGCGAACGATCGGCAACCAGACCCGGCAGACGCAGATGGTCGAGAACGAGTCCGTCGGCAACAAGGTCAGGCGGCCTATGGAGATGAGGGTGGAGCCCGAGGACGGGCTTCGGAACGTGACCATGGATACGCAGAAGGAGGTGTATGCCCTGAACCCCCTCGACTACATGACCAAGGAAGCCGGCGAGGAGGTCCCATGGCAGATGGTCGAGCTGAGCCGCAACGTCACAGTGATTCTGCGCGTCGCGAAGATGGACATAAGGAAAGTCGGAGCTATGTTGTCCCCAAGGAGAACTTCGGTATGGAAAGAGGAAGATGGGAGCCTGCCGGAGGACTTCGAGACGCAGCGACACGAGCACCGGCCCTGGTTGGAGTGGATGGCAGTACTTCGGCGAGGGCGGCGATGGTTTCCAAGGAGTCGCAACTCTACCTCCTACCCCGCCTGCGGCGGGAGGCCCGAGACCGAGCGAGAAGATCTCGGTCCCGGTGTTCACCGGAGAGGACGCGGAAGAGCTCGGGTCGTCTGCGAGGTCGTACTTGAGACAGGTGGAAGCATGGAGGAGGATGACATTGATACCCTTGTCTCAACAAGGGTTAGTGCTATACCAGAGCCTTTCTGGGAAAGCATGGGTGGCGGCAGAAGAATTGAGCGTAGCGAGACTGGGCACGCCCGAAGGCGTGAGTTACTTCATTGCCTGGATTACCTCAAGATTCCTCGACCTAGAGATAACTCGCATCGGACGAGCTTTCAGCGATTTCTTCAGGAAGCTTCGACGTCGCCAAGGACAAACGATTCGGGAGTATAACACCGAGTACGACCGTCTTCATGCTCGACTACGAGAAGTGGGATGCTGCCTTCCTGAAGATTGCGCGGCATGGCTGTACTTGGACCGTCTCCAATTGGAAGAGGCCCAAGAGCTCAACTTGTTGGCCAGCGTCGGGAACCAGTACAACCTCCATCGACTACAACAAGCAGCAGTGCTACATGACAGAGGACATCGCAAGCCTTGGGAGACAGCCAAAGGACCTCGAAAAGCCAATGTCGCCCACGTCACCGATTACGACTCCGGACCCGAGGCAGCAGTTGATGACCAGCATGAAGACGTGCCAGAAGATCTCCCAGAAGAAGTCGCGCAAGCCTGGATGACATATCAGTCGGCCAAGGACAGATATCGGGCACAACAGAAGACGAGAGGATTCAAAGGGAGCGTTGGAGAAAAAGGAAAGGATGCCGAGAAGGAGGCCAAGATCAAGGCGATCAAGCAGAAAAGCTTCTGCGCTGGTTGCGGCCGCAGGGGCCACTGGCATAAAGATGATGAGTGTCCGATGAACAAAGGCAACGGCGGAGGAAAAACCGAAGGCGCCAAGGAGTCCTTGAAGGAGATCGCCATGACCACGGTCCTTCCCGCCGACGTGATGACCCTGAAGCACGAGCATGGACTGATGGGAGTGGCAGACACGGCGTGCGCAAAGACGGTCGCAGGGACACAATGGCTTCAGACATACGCCGACAAACTTCAGGAGCTCCATGGGCAGACTCCACAGCTGCACAAGGAGTGCGAAGCGTACAGGTTCGGCACCGGGAAGATTCACTACAGCTCGTTCTTTGTGATCGTGAGGTTCGAAATGGGCGACAAAGTGGTTCAGGTGAAAACGTCGATCATCACAGGAGACATCCCATTGCTGCTGTCGCGCACAGTCCTCGGAAAGATTGGGATGATCTACGATGTGTCAGAAGGCACCGCGAGCTTCACGAAGCTGAACCTCAAGAACTTTCACCTGAGCACCACCGCTTCAGGTCACCCTGCAATCCCCATCATCCCGGCAAAGGCCGAAGCGGATGAAGTTCCAGTGCTCGGGATCGACGACCTGCGTCTCACGGCCAAGCAGCAATACATGAGCGTGTGTGCAGTAGCCAATGAAGGGAAGGCCCCCAAACCCTCCATTACTGGGATCTTTTATGCCAAGAAGTTGGACCCTGGGGTTCGGGATATGCTGTCGAGTGATCGGTTACAACAAGAGCTCTTCTTGACGTGGTGGCGTAGCACTTCTCTTCAGCAAGATTTCTGGGTTGAGACTCCAGACACGTGGACAAGGATACATGTTGTACCTCGAAGAACCCCGTTTAGTCCTAGCAAGTGGCGTACCACAGCATCGATTCAGCGAGACATGCTTGTTGCTGGCATCGGTTACATGAGGTACTCTGAAGGCGTGTGCTGCAGCTCTGGAAAGTGGTTAGAGCCTACAGTAGATGATTGGAGGAGCGACGTTTTAGCCCCTTTTCCGCTGCTTTGGGTTGGCAGATCAGTCTTCTACAAGAAGCACCCAGAGTGCAGAGCCCCAGGTCCTCCAGAACCTCCTTGTAATGAGCGACCTGCCATGCGCGCGCCCCGTGTCCTTGAGCAAGATGAACAAGACGGAGCTGTTGGCGGAAGCAGTGAGACGGGGCCTCACCGTCCACAGGACGTGGGCGCCCGAAGAGCTGAGGGCAGTGATTCGCGAGTGCATCGATGCCGAAGCGGAGAAAGACCCCGAGGTACAGATGAAGAAGGTGACCCAGATGACGCTTGCGGAACTTCGGGAGAAGGCGGAGTCGCTGGGCATCGAGGTGGCGCCGAAAGCGAGCAAAGGAAACATTATGCTCTTGATCAGGGACTCGCTGAAGACGCCCGCCACGGAGTTGATGTCGTTCGGCAGGTGGAAGGGATACCAGTATCGGGAGGTGCCCAACGCGTACGGCAGGTGGGCGCTGGAGGAAATCAAGAAGTCAGAGAATGCTCACCCAGATCTCGTTCGGTATGCACGGTGGTGGGAAAGCCAGAACGTCGAGCCTCAGCACATGTTCTACACGGCGGCTCAGGGGTCCTCGATGATGCCTTCACCGTACCCCAAGAATCACCAAAGTTGGCCTATGGGAGAAGCGATGTCACAGGTGGTCCAGGCAAGTTCTTCGGGATTGGAAGCGAGAGTGCCGTCCTCGGCCGAGAGTGCGTCATGGGAGGCGGTGTCGACAGCCTCGACCAAGAACCGGAACGGCAAGGGGGGCAACAAGGCGGGATCATCCACTTCGAGTACACCGAACCCGAAGAGAAGGAACGAGGGCATGGAAGAGACGGAGGCCCAGAACACCATGGAGAGCGAGATCGACCCAGCCGTGGCGGAAGAGATCAGAGCATCGGAAACCAAACTGGCGGTGCTGAAGGACAAAGCGAGGGTCACCGGGAAGTGAAGATTGAGAAGGACCGAAGTGTGGTGACCTGTCTCGAATGCTGTTGTGGAATCGTCAAAGAGGAGGAAGGCACCCGAGGAGGAGTACGCGAAAGGGTACCGCAACCAGCACGAGACTTTGATGGCCAGCATGGAGGGCGAAAGCGACTATGAAGCACCGGGTGAAAGAGAAGAAGCCAGCGACGGATCGAGTATCGGAACAGACCCTGATTCTTTCCATCATGTGCTAGCCGCGATGATCGAATGGGAGGACTACTCCTTTTCCACTTGCCTGGGGCTTTTGGAAGGCGCCGGGTTCCCCGAGGAGTCCTTCAAGATGGTCAGGAAGCACATGACGGGAGAGTGCCAGAGTGGACCGGAGCTGGAGCAAGCGAGCATCACCTTCGGTATGTTTTCGCATGGAGGCGTGCACGGCATCACGAAAGCAACGCACGAATACAGTAAGCTGAATACAGTAAGCTGGCCCAGTACCTGAACGCGTTCGCAAAGCATCACCTCGGCAAAGACGCTAGCTGGTCTTCTGTGACAGTGTTGCGGAACGTGGGCACAGGAGTTCACCGTGATTCACACAATCTTCGTGGCACGATGAACTACTGCATCTCTCTTGGACAAGAACAAGGCGGAGGAATATGGCTGCAGCAAGATGGAGTAGAAGAAGAACAAGTGAACGACCCGACCAACGACATTGTCTGGAAACAGGACGCCGGAAAGGCCTGGATCCCCGGGAAGTTCTACAACACTCGCAACCAGTTCCTCATGTTCGACCCACACTACAAGCACGCGACTCAGGGATGGTCAGGAGAGAGATGGGGATTAGCCTACCATACCGTCCGCGGGCTTGTCCAAGCTGGGAACGAAGTCAAGAAATGCCTCAAAAATTGTGGGTTTCCGTTCGAAGCCAACCTGAAGAAAGGGAAGATTGAAAAGAACAAAGCGGCGAAGCCTTCGAAATCAGTGAGAAACAAAATCTTCAACACCGCGGGAAAGCTCAGCGTGATGATGGCTTCGCTGATGATGGCAACGGGTTCGATTACCGCCGAAGCAGGAGGACCAGTCGCCGAGTATGACCCAATCGTGATGATGGAGTTGGGAGGCGTCGAGGGAACTATCGAAGCGGTAGACCTTGGCAAGGCAGTCATTGAACCCATGTCTTGGGAGCACCTTAAGGAGCCGGAGAAGCAGGAGAACGCTCACCACTTTGTCGTCGGAGCATCACCTAAAGAACTGCGGATACATCTTCGAGACATGCCGAACATGGTGCAGGAGTTTGTCAAGGACTTGATAGGGGAGCAGCTCGAGGAAGGAGGAGATGTGGTGCTACGTGGACAAGATGTACCAACATGGATCAAGGAGTTCGAAGAGTACAAGCGATATGAATCCGTGGAGGAGGACGACGCATGGATCGTGGTGAGCAAGCCTAAGAAGGGAGCGGTGATGATGAAGGGGAGAGAACGACCACATGAAGTATGTACAGTTGAAGTCGGCGCAGATGGCAACGCTGGACGAAGACGCCAGGAGGCATCTGGTATCAGCTTCGACGAGTCCGTGCCCCAACACGTGCAGTCAGCACTACGAAGGTTACATCAGAACTTGGGGCATCCGAGGAAAGAAGATCTCCTTCGACATCTTAGACTTGCTGGGTGTGAAGACCATATCATCAAAGCAGTAAAGGGCATGCATTGCGAAACATGCAAGACGACCCAAGGTCCTGGGATAGCACGGGGAACAACGCTGCCGAGATTGCTTGACTTCAACTCGTGTGTCGGGGTAGACATCTTTTACGTGCACGACATCCGGGACAAGAAGCATGCTTTCCTGTCTATGGTGGACTGGGCCACCACGTACCACGTCGTCAAACATCTCGAGAAGGAGACCGGAGAGGATGTGGAGCGTGCTTTCAACGACGCCTGGCTGAACGTGTTCGGTCCCCCCGCTTCGTTGTCTCTTGATCTAGATGGAAAAGTACAAGGTGGGCTAGCAAGACTATGTGACTGGCATTCCATGAAGGTGAAGGATGTCGCGGCCCAGGCGCACTGGCAAGCTGGAGTGACAGAGAGACAAGGGGGATGGTTCAAGGCCATATGGGACCGCGTGGTGCAGGAGCTGAGCGTCGAAGACGAAGAGGTGGTTTTGGCGGCCACGATGGTATGTGGGGCGAAGAACGACTTGAGGAGGAGATGCGGGCATAGTCCTACGCAGTGGGTCTTCGGAAGGTCTCCACGAGTTCCTTCAGAGCTTGCAGACCCAGATGGAGGAGAAGCAGTGACATGGGACCTCACCCTCGACTCCAAGTTCCAGAGAAGCACGGCGATTCGGGCGAGTGCAAGGATAGCGTTTCATCAAGCACAAGGAGACGATCGGCTGAGAAAAGGATTGATGCAAAGGAGCAGGGCGGCAAGGGCGGCATATGACGTGGGAGACCCTGTTCACTACTGGCATCAACCCAAAGATCGACGCAGAGCAAGATGGATAGGTCCGGCGGTGGTGGTCGGAAAACAGGGATCGAGCTATTGGGTGTCGAGGAATGGAAGATGCAGATTGACAGCTCCCGAACACCTGAGGGCTACGGGTGCTGAGGAGTTGGGCGAGTTCCTTACGATGAAAGGCGTGAAAAGAGAGGTGGAAAAGCTGCTGAGCATGGACATCGACGACCCGAAGATCTACGAAGAAGAAGAAGAAGAAGAGCGGCCGAGAGACGAAGAAGAAGATTGGATGGCCGAATACGAACCATCGATCCCCGCGGCCGAAGAAGAAGATAGAGAACCTGTGCAACTAGACATGGAGATCGACGAAGAGATCTTCGAAGAAGAACAAGGACTACCAGAACCAAGAAGGAGATTGAAGAGAAAGACAAGACCTGAAGCCCTCACAGTCGACAACAACATCGGGGAGGTGATGCTCACCAGGAAGGAACTAACAAAGAGAGGACAGGCAAAAAGGCAAGAGAAGGAGCTCTTGTGGAAGGAAATACCCGACCACGCCAAGGAGAAGTTCAAGCAAGCAGAACAGGCCCAGTGGGATGAACACTTGTCGTTCGATGCGTTACAGCCCCTCGACACCGAGACCAGCAACCGCGTGAAGGCGACATATTCGGAAGAACGGATACTTCGATGCAGGTGGGCCTACAAGGATAAGAACTGGGCGGCAAGGTGCAATGGACAGGAGGTGGAATGGAAATGCAAGAGCAGGCTAGTTACAGGAGGCCACAAAGATCCAGACCTAGGAGTCCAAGAGCTCACCACAGACGCCCCTACACTGTCAAGAACAGGCTTCATGTGCATGATGCAGAGACTCGCCAACGGCCTCGAGTTGAACGACAAGAATAAAGAGAAATGGTCGGTCGCCGCGGGGGACATAAGATGTGCTTTCCTCACCGGAGGGTACTTGAGCAGGGACAACCCACTGTTTCTGCATCAGCCACCAACCGGGTTCCCAGGAATGCTGCCCGGGCAACTGGTGAAGATCAAGAAGAACATATTCGGCCTTGCAACCTCACCGCATGAGTGGTGGCAAAACCTTCAGGAGGGCATCCTCACGGTGGAGATCGAATGGGAGAACAAGAAGTACAAGTTCGAGCCATGCCCGTTGGACCCTTGTGTGTTCATGCTACGGGAGAAAGCGGGTGAGACTTTCCGAGGAAGACCGATTGGTTATGTCGGAAGCCACGTGGACGACCTCCTGGTGATAGCAGCAAGAAGATTGAATCGCCTCATCCAGAAAAAGCTGTCGGACGCGTTCCCAGTGGATGATTGGATTGAGGACTCACTCGACTACCTCGGCTCGGAGATGACGTGCGGAGACAGCGAAGTAACGTCACTCAAAGGAGGTATGCCGAGAGCAGGTTGTTCATGGTGGAGGTGCCAAAGGGGAGAAAAGATGAAGAGTGGGCAGATGCCGAGATGATCGCGGACAACAGGAGTTTGATAGGGGCACTGTCATGGCTGTCGGCGCAGACAAGACCGGACTTGACATGCAGCGTGAGTCTGGCGCAACAACTACAAAAGTGCCCCACCGTAGGCGACATCAAGTTCAGCAACTTGATCTCCGCGAGGGCAGTGAAGTACAAGAACTATGGCCTCACATTCAAGCCGGTGCCCTATGAGGACATGATCTTTCTGGCCTACCACGACGCTGGTTGGGCAAATGCTTACGAGGGAGAATATGACGAGCCAGGATTTGAACTAAGTACAGAAGATCGACAAGCAGGCCTACAGCGAGATGTAACAGACTCGATGAAAGACAGAAAGGCGAGAAAGCAAAACTCACGGGTCGCCTCGCAGCTTGGACAGTTGGTGATGTTTGCCGAAAAGAAGTGCTTGACGGAGGTTGGCGGCAAAGCGAGCATTGCCGACTGGAAGTCAAGGGCGGGACAAAGGGTGTGTCGTAGCACCTTCGGAGCGGAGACCCAAGCATGTGTTGAGGGCATGGAGGGGGCACAATTCGTGAGGTCCTTCTTCGAGACGGTCGTGACCGGTGAGATGACCAAGGTGGAGGACACCAAGAAGAACGTGATGTGCCTCAGTGACTGCCGCTCTTTGTTCGACCACTTGCATAAGGAGGGTATCCCGAAGGTGCCGAGCGATAGGCGTTTGGCCATAGACCTAGCCGCCCTCAGACAGGCGATGCGGTGGGAGAAGTGGAGCGCAAAACTGCCTCTCGCATGGGTGCCAAGCAGCCTGCAAATGGGAGACATCCTCACGAAGCCTCAAGACGGAGCAGACTGGTGGAGCATGGTCAGAGCGCGTCTGAGTGTGCCAATCACCACGGGAGAATGTACAGGCAACAGAAAACACTTTATAGAGAAGAGTACCAGTGTGAAGCACTGAGGGTGTTTTCAAAGCTCCAGGAGAGACGCTACAAATCAGAAGTGTACATGCAATGGCCATTAGCGCAGGGGTCACAAATCAGAAGTGTACATGCACCGGCCGATCGCGCAAGGCCCGAAGTCACATGCATCGTCAGCACGCGCGAAAAGTGCGACGGCTGCCATCTTGTAGTTTCATACTAAACCCTAAGGATTCCATGCTTCAGGGAGTACAAGCTTTCAAGGCCATCCGAGTCAAAACGGCCGTGGCAGGGCTGCGGCAACGTAACTTTGACAAGTCTCCATAGGCTTATAGTGGGCAATCTTAATTCTGGGTCCCTGTTTGGGTGTGCTATATGCTATAGCATGTTCCTTCTAGTTTAAGGCTTAGGGCTAGGGCTCAGGGACGGCAAGCCCCACCAGAAAGGCACATAATTTACTCCCCGCCTCCCCCGCCCCCACCCCACCCACTTATCAGGAGACCCTAATTTAGAGCAATCCCAATGCGATCAGGCTGCTTGACGACATGGGGGCGGGAACCGTTCCGTCGAAGCTTCATCATTCGTTCTCTCTTGAAGAATGAAACTAGAACTGATAGAACGTCAGCACGCAACTATAATGGGAACATGTAAACTCAGAAAGGGGCAGGTTCAAATGTCAGGGTCAGGAGATTGCGTCTCAAGACAACTCTATTGTTTCGGGATAAGGTCCTGAGGTATTAGGGTTTAAAGGGTGTTTAGAGTTTGAGGGCTTAGCTAGGGTTTGAGGTTTTAGGGTTTTCAGTATAGGGTTTCAGGGTCTGTGTTTTCGGGTTACCCCTCCCCCCCCCCCCCCCCCCCAATAGTAAAACTGCCTTTTGACATCCCTAAACCCTAAAATCCCTACCTACACCCTAAAACCCCTAAAATTTGGGTTGGGATGTTCCTCCCAACATCCCACCCTAAAATCAAAAAAAAAACTAAAAGAACCTAAAGATGTCGCAAACCCCTGAGCCCTGAACCCTAGACCCGAAAGCCTAAACCCTGAACATGGACTTGTTGAAACCCCCTTGGGCTTAGGACTCAGGCGGTTGAGGGTTTAGGGTTTAGGAAGTTAACCCCTAATCACTAAACTCTTATAGGGTAGTTACAGGATCCCTGAGCATGCGCTCTTGAAAGAGGACCCCTTATATACCACATATACCACTTAGACTTGGATACCCTTAAAAAACCAAGGGCCCTTGCTTCAGAACCCTTTGAAGAAAGCAAGGGACCAATTTCTGGCCCCTGCAGCTATCCTCAGATAAAACACGACAAAGCCTGTAGGGCTAAACCCTAAACCCTAAACCCTAAACCCTAAACCCTAAACCCTAAACCCTAAACCCTAAACCCTAAACCCTAAACCCTGTCGGAGGTTTGGGAAGCTTGGGAAGTTCAGCGCTTAGGGATTCGAAGCCCTCGACGTGCCAAGCAGCCGCCACCTCCTGCATGAGCACCTCTTGCCAGCACTGGAGGATCCACTCCTGATCTAACTTAGGGGATCAGGGTTTAGGGTTTAGGGCTTAGGGTCTCATCTCTCAAGATTTTGTGCCTTGGCCTTACCCACCCCCACACCATCCTACGCCCTAAGCCCTGTAAAGCCTACAGACGCGAAGGTTCCGTAGCCCCTTTGCCCCCTAAACCCTAAACCCTAACACCCTCAACCCTAAACCCGAAGACCCTGAACTCTAAACCCTAAACCCTAAGCCACCCCGCCGATTAACGCCTGGGGAGCATCCTAAGCAGAACGAAGCGAAGCTCTTTTTCAGGTGAAAAAGCAGGGACCCCCAGAAGGGACCCTCCTTATTCCCCGATGTAACCCCTACATATGCCTGCTATTATAGTCCCTGTGTGCCTGAATAGCCCCTAAGAAACCCCCGAAATAACTCCTACGGTCCCTTATAAGGGTCCCTCCTTTAGTCCTTTGATCCTTGTGAACCCCTTAACCTATACACCTGAGGGTTTAGGGTTTAGGGTGCCGGAAACCCTCAGCCCTAAGCCCCACTCTGTACACAAAAAACCCCCAAAGCCTAAAAGCCTGAAGGGCCTCAAGCTCTTGAGCCGCAACCCTCCGCCCGGTAGACCCTCATCTCTGCACCCTAAAAACCCACTCCCCTGTACACCCTAAACCCCAAACACCCTAGATCTCATCCCTAAACCCTAAACCCTAAACCCTAAACCCTGAACTGAAGACACCCCAAGCTGCTAATCACTAAACCCCAAACACCCCAACACCCCGAGCTGCTCCCAGAAGCCCGAAACCCTAAACCCTAGACCCTAAACCCTAATGTTATAACCTCATATTTATTAACTCCCCCCCCTCAATCAAGGAATCCCTGTCCAAGGCGGACTTTTTTCTCCATGGGCCCTTTTGGGTAGGTCAGGGCTTGGGGGCGGCTCAAAACAGCCCGACCCCCCCCACCCCCCCCCACCTTCAGTCGGGGCGGAAACAAAGATTGGGGCGGGGGGGGCTTCAGCGAGGTCAACATTAAACCCTAAACCCTAAACCCTACACCCGCATCGACTCCTGCTCAAGCTGCTCTGCAGGCTTTGGCAGCTGCGCGAAGCCTGCGCCTGGGCGCGGGAAGGGGGCGCCGCGAGCCTTGAAAATTAGACGACTGATGCCGAACAACTAAAACCTAAACCCTAAACCTTAAAGTTTAGGGGCCAAGTGGCAGAACTCCTCCAGCATGGTGCACAGCTGCCGCCAAACCCTGGCCACATTTTGCAGCTTCTTTTCAGGGTCAATTTGAGGGTAGCTTAAGGGCTTTAAGGGCTGTTGAATTGGTTTAGGGTTTTAAGGCTCTTAGGGTTTAGGGTTTAGGGTTTAGGGTTTAGGGTTTAGGGTTTAGGGTGGCAACTTGAGGGTTGTTTAAGGGTTGAGGGGGTCGTAACTGCTTGTGCCTTGCGACCTTTCGAGGTTTTAAGGTTCAGGGTCGGCACCCCAAACCCGCACCCTAAACCCTAAACCCTAAACCCTAAACCCTAAACCCTAAACCCTAAACCCTAAACCCTAAACCCTAAACCCTAAACCCTAAACCCTAAACCCACAACCAAAACACGTCGGCACGGCCGCCGGTGCTCCAGGTGGAAGGTGCCCTGGCACAAACCAGCAACTTCAAATGTACCCAAACCCTAAACCCAGAACCCAGAACCCTAAACCCTAAACCTTAAACCCTACATCCTGAATCCTAACGCAAAGCTACAGCCCTAGTGACCTGATTTTTTTGGGGGGGCCTTTTCGGGTTAAACCCCCCGTACCCACCCTTTTCTAGGGTTTAGGGTTTAGAACTTTAGGGTTTATGGGGTTTATAGGGGTTTACGGTTTAGGGTTTCTAGGACCCAGAATTAAGCCCGGCAGTCGCAAAACAGGGTTTAGGGTTTAGGGTTTAGGGTTTAGGGTTTAGGGTTTAGGGTTTAGGGTTTAGGGTTTAGGGTTTAGGGTTTAGGGTTTAATCACCCTTGGAGAATGGTGGAATTCGGCCCCTTAGGCTCCGGGACGTCCTGGGACCTGCCAGCTGGAACCCTAAACCCGAAACCCTAAACGCGAAACCCTACACTCTAAACCCCCTAAACCCCCTAAACCCCCTAAACCCCAAACCCTAAACCCCAAACCCTAAACCCCTAACCCCAAACCCCTAAACCCTAAACCATCCTAAACCCCAAACCCTAAACCATCCTAAACCCCAAACCCTAAACCCCAAACCCTTAACTCATAAGGAGGCCTCCAGGTGGTCCTGGGTGGCCGCCTGGTCGCAGAGGAGGCACCTCGAGGCCCCCCCCCCCCCCCCCCCCCAGGGTGCGGTGTTCCAAGGGAGCTTGAAGGGGTTTAGGGGGGGGGGGGGTTTAGGGGGTTTAGGGTTTAGGGTTTAGGGCTAATAGGGTTTAGGGTTTAGGGGTTATATAGGGTTATTCGGGCAACTAGGGCAAAGAGAGCAACTCGGGCAACTGGGGTAACTAGGGTAAGTAGGGCAACTAGGGCAATTAGGGTCATTATGGTAGTTCGGGTTTAGGGCTTTGGGGGTTTTAAGGGTTTTTTAGGGGAGGGCGGGGGGGAGGGGGGGCCCGGGGGGGGGGGGGGGGGGGGGGGGGGGTGAGGGTTTCAGAATAGTAAGGGCCTTGACGGCTCTAGGGTGTTTAGAGTGGCTTGGTTAGATGGAGGTGCTCTAGTTTAGGGTTTAGGGTTTAGGGTTTAGGGTTTAGGGTTTTTTGTGTCAGGCCTGTTAACTTGCTCAAGGGCTTCGGAGTTTTTATGGGGACGGCTGCGGTTAAGTTAAGAGTGTACGGGAATCCTAAACCCTAAACCCTAAACCCTGAACCCTGAACCCTAAACCCTCAGAACTTCCGTAACAAGAATCAAAGCCCCTAAGCTCCACACCTCCAAAGTCCTAAGAGCCCTCACCTTTAGACCCCGAAACCCATAAAAACGAATGCCAAGGGGATAGGGCACCATTGGCTGGGTTCTGAAGTTAAACCCTAACCCCTAAACCCTAAACCCTAAACCCTAAACCCTCAGAATTTCCTTAACCAAAATCTGAGCAACAACCGATCCGAGACACCGCCGGCCGTGGATGCCTCTGTTCGCGGTGATGTACCTCGACTAGGTTCCCCAACAACCAACAAAACATAGGTTTGGGTGTAGGAATTAGGGGTTAGGGGTTTAGGGGTTTAGGGTTTAGGGTTTAGGGGTTTAGGGTTTCGGGTTTAGGGTTTTAGGGGTTTAGGGTTTAGGGATTCAAGCCGTAAATACCAGACTCTTACCCTCCTTTTTATCTGGGTGGGCGTCATGGTTGGAAAACCCTCCCTAAGCCCTAAACCGTAAACCCTGCACCCTAAACCCTAAACCCTAACGCTCAGGGCAAGTTCGTCCCCCAACCAGGGTGTTCTGCTTGTCCACTTCGGAGGGCGCAAAGGCAGAGCTACCCTACTTTGGAGTAGACCCTGGAAAAGTATATGCTGTTTTTTAGGTAGAAGTAGCTACAATCAGAACCCAGAAACAGCAAAAGTATGAAAGTATAGTACTCAAAACCCAGGCTAGCAAGCCCCACGACCTGTTGCCGTTGACAAGAAGTCCCACCAAGGCTCGGAATCCCCATTCCAGGAACCTACGGTTTGGGGTATAGGGTTTAGGGTTTAGGGTTTAGGGTTTAGGGTTTAGCGTTTAGGGTTTAGGGTTTAGGCTTAGGGTTCAGGGTTTAGGGTTCGGGGACCTAACCTCCTAAACTCCCCAAATCCCAGCGCCATAAGCCCATGGGCGCCCACCACATCTTCAACCCCTGCTGCTTCAGGGG